GACAGCAAAGAAGGATATAGGAAGGGACAGACGGAGACTGAGAAAGATTTGATGGAGAGACAAGGTGGTGTGTGAGGGGGGCAGAGGTACAAGGGGAGCAACTGCAGACTTGTCACCTGGGCAGTTCTTTGGGTGTCAGCAGGACAGAGTCTCCCGGTCACAGGGGTTCCTGTATATTTCTTTTATGGGCCCAGCCTGTCCTGTAAGAGAAAATATTCAGTTACTCTAGGAAGTCAATAAGGAGCAGCTATCTTCAAGAAGCTGTTTATAAAACCCCGTCCCCCCAGACACACACATTCAGGGCAAGGGCCTTGCTGATCTGGGCCCATTAGCGCTAATGAAAAGCTCTCAGCACCTGGTCTGCTCCAGCTGGGGAGGCCCACATGGGGTGCCCGCCTTCTGCCCAGATGGTGGTTCCCAGGTGCCCTTCCTGGGGCCGCGTGGGGAACCACATCTTCAAAAGATTTGCAGTTTCTGGCACGGGCTGCATCTCTGCTGACATGCTATGTGTGGCTGGTGAACCGGGAGGAGAGGATGGGTGTAGTGGTCCACGCACCTGGATGCTACCTGGGCATCTGCAGTGATGCCTCAGCAGAGAGAAGGCCAGCACAGCCCTGTTCATCAAACACTCTCCCTGGAAATCCTGACTCCCAGGAGAGAGAAACTGGATGCTGGAAAGCATTCCTTAGCTTTGCATAAGGATCCACCAGAAGGCTCCTCTAGAGAGCCAGCTCTGAGTAGTAGAAATGAGGGCTTGATTTCAGCAGTCAAATGGGCCCAGATGGAGACCCCTGTTCTACCACACCTGTGAGGGAATTCCACAGCTGAGTCCTGCTCAAACACTTCCAGGAAAATTCTGAGGCCCGGGGAAGTTTGGGCTGCAGTGAGCATTCCTATGGGGAGGAAGGAGGAATTTCGGGGTCTCGGGTGCCAGTCAGATTCCCTCCCATTCTCGTCAGTGGAGAAGCAGTTTGTGAAAGATTCCTCTCCATCACTCCATCTCTCCATTCACCCATCCACCCATCCACCCATCCATCTATCCACTCAGCAGCTCCAACTGTGTGCTGGGTGCTCTGTTAGGGAATGGAGACGCAAATAGGCAGGCACTCACACTTGGGTCGTGGCCGGGGTAGGGGACTGGAGGAGACATGGAAAGGGAGGACAATAGGGCTGGGGACCCACAGGAAGGAGGACAAACTCCACGGGTGTAACTCCACTGGTGGCAGTTGGGGAGGCTTCACAGGGAAGGGGAGGGAGTCTTGAGGGCGTGTAGAGGTAGAGATGGGCAGATGGAAAGACAGAAGAAGGGGCCGCCTTCCTGAGAGCTCTCGGAGGCCCTGGGAGCTGGTACCCATTTGACCTAAACACACACACGTGGCAAGCGCTTCAACCTCAGTGTCGGCTGTAGGGCTCTGGGCTATATGTTTACATGCATAACCTCATTAAACGCAAGAACAACCCTAGGAAGTAGATATCGTACCATCACCCCCATTTTACAATGGGGAAGCAGAGACCTGGAGAGGGAAGTGACTTGTCTAACATCACCAACTAGTAAGCGATGGACCGGAAAATCCATGCCCAGGAGTCAGAATCAAAGCTAGCTTTCACGGAACGGGCTTCATCCACCCATGTGATTACGGTGAATCCTTGTGACAGCCTTGCTAGGGAGCCTATTGCCTCACTTTACAGAAGGAAACTGAGGCTTAGAGAGGTAAGGGGCAAGGCTGAGCATCCTCCTGGGTTCTAGGCTCTTTCTCAAACTCCAGGCAAGATATTAGAAAACCTGTGTTGGGGGCCAGGAGAGGGGAAGAGGGCAGAAGTCCAGCACCATCTGAACAGTGGTGGATCCTTAGAAATTGACCATGGGGATGTGGGGAGGGGAGGACACTGTCACTACCTGGCAGGACACTGCTAGCTGAGTGGACATCTAGGGGGAGGAGCCCCCTGGGTCTAGGCAAGGCCCAAGGAGCTTTGGGTGCAAACTCTGTCCAGGAATGGCTCACTGGGCAGCATGAAGCCAACTTAGGCTCCTTCCTAGAGCTCAGGTCTCTGTGGCCTTAGGAAGGGGAGCCCCAATGTCTAGTTCAGGGGTGGCATCCCACACCTGGCCCCAGGGCTCAGGGAAGCAGGGAGGAGGTCATCGTTTTCTCTTACCCCTGCTCCTCCCCTGCCCTATCCCAGCCCTGGTGCCTCAACATCACCATTCTCTGCCCAGCATCTCAGGCTGGGAAGGCCCACCTTCCTCTGGACACTGAGGCTGGGATGAGAGGTGTGGGTGACATAGAGACCCACCCAGGGACAGGGAGGAGGTGCTGAACTCCGTTGGAATCTCTGGTGTCTCCCTGACGCCCCCTCCATCAGGATGCCCCCCTCCCTGATTTTTTTCTGACACAGCAAAGATCTACACTAAGGAGACGCTGGGAAAGGACAGCCTGGGAGACCCCTGCCAGGCTCAGCCATCACCCCTGCCTCTGCACAGCCCAGGTGGCACCTGCCTGGGCCAGCTCCCTTGAGACCTTCAGAAAGTCACTACCCTCCCCAAGATGCTAGGTTCTCCTCTGAAAACTGCAGTTCTCAATTTTGAAGCCAAAGGTGGTTGCAAGAATCTGAAGCTCACGAACAATGAAGTGATATGATGTGAAAACACTTGGAAAACTGCAAAGCACTGTTCCCGTGGGGAGTATTATTATCAGCATCGTCATATATGGAAGAAAGTGGATGCCCAAACCACATTCACTGGTTATCAACTGAGGTGGGCGTGGGGCAGACCACGGACACATGGCTTGGTCAGTATGGATATACATTATCTTTCCTCTCAATGGCCCCAAAGTCAGACTAATCGCTACAATTTTGTGATAAACATAATCATAATTAGCAGTGTTGAGCGTTCACTATGTACCAGACTCTGCTAAGTGTTTCTCCTGCATTCTCTTACTTAATTTCACCTAGGAGGTGGGTGTCATTATTATCCCATTTTACAGATGAGGAAACAAAGGCTCAGCAGATAATTAACTGGCCTGGATTCACTCACATGGTTAGTAAGACATGGTCATGAATCAGACTGCTAGACTCTAAACCAGAGCTCCTGATAAGACACCAGACATTGACGTGGCACTAGAGACAGGACCTCAGAAAGGGAGTTCTATGTCTCAGTCTCCAAAATCTCCAGCTCAGTGCTGCTCTGCCCTGAATCAGGCAACCAGGCAGCATCCCAGGGAGCCAGCTAGCATCCTCCCCCGTGCCAAATGGAGGCCTCTGGGGGATGTCCCCAACCTGCCATCCTTTGACAGATGGGAGCCCTGAGGCCCAGAGAGAGGCAGAGATGGGGTGAGGTCAGACAGTGCCGCTGGGTTCTCCTCTGCAGGCCCCGGCCTGGGCCAGACAGCTTTATTAATCTGCCTCTCCCACTGCCCCCAGATGGCGGCTCAGTCCCATCTGCACAGAGCAGGCCCAGGAGGGGTTCTCTGATTAAGAAGAACAGCTCAGTTCATAAATCACTCCTTTTACTTTCACCACCCCCACTGCCCGGGCAAGCTTTCTGGAGAGAGAGAAAAGGAGGCAGGTGGACAGGAGCAATGGAGAAGCCCCCACCGGAGGAAGCAAAGCTAGACCTGGGCTGGTGGGAGCCCAGAAATGTCTTGTACGAGCCCTGGCCAGGGGAGGGCGCTGTGGTGCAGAGCAGAGTTTCAGGGGGGCGCAAGGGAGCAGCCTTAACTCCAACAACCTGGGTTGCAATCAGTGTGGGCTCTGACTCCAACAGGCTGTAAAACCTGGGCCAGCCTCCTCACCTCCTGAGCTTCTATCTCTTCATCTGTGAGATGGGCGTTCTCAGATCTAACTCCCAGGGTTATTATGCAGATCGAAAGAAATGATGCTGGTGAAAGCACTTTAGTGGCTGTACATCCCGTTCCTTCCTTCCTGGGCCTGCCTGGCACCTGCTAGTGCCAGCACTGGGCTTGGTCCAAGGCATGGAGGCCAGCGACTTCTGTCCCTCAAGGACTCACTCAAGTCTAGTGAGAATCAATAACCCGGTACTTGGAGAGGAGTGTTAACAGCCACATCAACCAAGTATCCTGGGCATTTGCTGGGCAGGACAGAGAAGCGAGCGCTGACCGCCCCTGGGCCTGCAGGGGGCGCCTAGAAGCTGGGGGCCTGTGCATGGGGAGGACGGCACAGGGACTGACATTTATTGAGCCCCAGTGATACTGCAGAACATCGTGTCACGGGCGTTTACCTATAAAGATCCTACTCAGTCCTCCAAAGAGACTTGCAAATTAGATGATATTACCATCGTTCCCTTTTACAGAAGAGGAAACTAAGGCTTTGAGGGGCTAGAAAGGTCCCAGAGCCATTACTGACACTAGGCCTGCCTGCCTCTAAGGCCTAGATTTTCCTTCGTCAGAACTTGGGGCTGAGGGTTGTCAGAATAACAATGCTTCTTGTCATCAGGTTCAGAGCTGATGGGGGTGGGGAGAACTTATTTGCTCAATGGCTGTGCCTGCTGGGCCTCATCCCAAGACAGACGGTCTCATAAACAAGCAATTGGCCCCAAATCCTGCCGTGCCTGGTGATAGCACGGACGCGGGGACACGGACACAGCTGATGGGGAATAACATCTAATTAGGCTCCCGGAGGTACAGCCTGCGGTCGATGTATTGGATCCTAAATGACAGCCTTCCCCAGCCCCCACACTCATGGAGTCTTGAATGTCAAGGAAGCAGAGAGTGGCTGCAGCTTCTGGGAAGGCCCGGTCTCTAGTCTGTGAGCCAAATCAAGCCTGGGCACAGCATCCCTGCCACATGCTGTCTCCTCTGCCCCACAACTCCCATGGAGCCCTTCCATCTGAGAATCTTCAAAGGAGGAAGCCTTAGTGAGGGCTGACTCCAATTTCCTCTTTTCACACTGGGGGATGCTGAGGCCCAGAGAGGGGAAGGGCTTGGCCCAAAGTCACACAGCAAAGCCAGAATCAGGAGATCTTGATTTTAAGCCCACTGCTCTTCTCACCACTCAAGGCCGCCTCCTAAGACTAACATCTTAATTTAGTTTGACTTCTAAAAGCAATTTACCCACATTAGTTCATTGAACCTTCCAAACCTCCCCAGGAGATGGGGGTTCCTGCTTTACAGATGAGGAAACCAAGGCTCAGAGAGATGAGATCCCTGGCCTAAACTCACACAATAGGTTGGAGGAATTTCTAGAA